CTGCCTGTCTCCCTGGGCAACGCCTGTCCCACCCCCGCCGAGCCTCCCGGATTTAAAGCCGCAACACACCTTTAGCCCCAGGCTTCGGTGGGGAGAAGGGCGGCTGGGCGACCCGCAAGCTCTTTTCCAGCCCAGATCGGGTCGGGGACGTAGCGGGTCAGCTTAGAGGAAGTGGCTTCTACACCCATAAAGCCATTGCTAATCCAAATGTTGTGGGGTTTAAGTAGACTGATGCCTGTTGGAATTGACAGAATTCTGTTTACGAAAACAGGCATTCGCCTTTGACTTTTAAAACTATTGCCTTCAGTATTACCTTATGAGATTTTTGACACCCCTGTCCTTTTTATTTTGGAGCAGAGAAAATTTGCAGCTTACTCTAGTGGGAGCCGTGCTGATTACTTGTTCCATCTATCCATCCATCTATCCATCCATCCATCCTGTAGGTGGAAAAGGCCACACAGGCACCACCCCCGGTTTTCTTTTTTCTTCATTCTACTTGCATTTTTGTAAAATATTGTATGTACACAAAAAAGCATACGGGCTATTGACTAATCTTTGCATCAGGTGACTGGACTCGGGACTAGAAGTCCCTTTGTATAATTTCAGCTAAACCACTTGATCTCTTTCAGCCTCAATGTTCCTGGGTGTAAACTGGGGACAAGGATGTCTGTGGATATCAAGATGGTTGAGTGGCTCTTTATAATTATCAATATGTTTCATCCAAAGGCTACCGGGAACACGGTGTGAAATAAGCATCGTGGTATCTCAGCAGGATGATGTTAGAGCCCTTCAGAGCGTTTAGGCTTTGTTCAGATGGTTTAGGTGAAGATCTAAGGAAGTGGGTTTTTGTCAGAAAGCGGGGCAGTTTTATGACAGATTGATTTACAGGGGCACAATGACCTTAGTTCTATTTGTGTTTAGACACAACTATGAAGTGGCTGTGTTGCGTTTCCTTTTATCATGGTGTCAGAGTAATCTTGTCTGAGGTTCTGTCTTGAGAAGGATTCTATCCGACAGGAGAACCAAGTGGCCTGGCTATGAGCATCAGACCAGCTTGTAATAGTATTGAGGTTTGGCTGTGACAGGTTGGTTCTGGGCATTAGGGGCTTTCAGCCAGAGCCTTCCAGCCCAGGGGATTTAACAGAGCTCTTGAGGGAGAAGGTCTCAAGGGCTTCTCAAGTGAGAAGTCTGGGTGTCTAGGTTCACTGGACACTGTTTTATGACTGTCAAATTGAAGATAGAGTCATCGAAAGGTGCCATGATCCAGACCTCTGCTGTGAGCTGGGCCATGGCATGGACAGGACTGCTGTGAAGCTGCCCTTACTGACTAGCAAGAGCAGCTGAACATCTGGCAGGACTTCAGCAAGTATCAGGCACTAGGGCAGGACCAGGGAGCTTAGAGGCACGAAGTTGTCCTGAACTCCCCGGGGTAAGAGACACTGTTTTCATTTTCTTATTTATTTATTTATTTATTTATTTTCTTTTTCTTTTTGAGAAAGTGTCTCGCTATGTAGTTTAGCCTGGTCTTGAACTCACTATGTAGCTCAGGCTGGCTTCGAATGCATAGTGATTGACCATGCCTGGCAAGAGAGAGAAGAGTTTAGAAACAAGAAGCCTTGCAGCTACTGCAGAGGTTGGCACAGGCTAGTGGAGCAATTGGGACATTTGAGTTGTTTTGGAAAGAAGTATAAAATATGAGTGACTAGAGAGAAAGTGAAAGGCATTGCAGCAGGCCCAGGGCAAGAAAGGAGGCCAGCACACGGTGCTAGGTGCTGAACAGTGAGGTACAAATAAGGTACCAGGTGGTTCAGCCCAGGACTGTCTCCGAATGGCCAAACAGGAAGGTGATGCCTCTTCGTGGGGACATAAGGTACTGTTCTTCGTGGAGTAAGTGGATCCAAGGGAAGGAGATTCCCTAAGACTTTTAAAAAGGCTGGAACACGATAGCTCTAAGCAAGGCATACTTTAAGAATGTAATTGACCATTCCATTGAGGCAACCCACGGCAGCCACAGGAAGGAGGGCTCTTGGAGGCAGTCAGCTTCCCGGAAGCACAGGCACTGCCACCTTGCTCTCTCCTAACCCCTTGGTCTGATTTCCAGTGTGCTCTCTGAGGATCCTGGAAACAGAAACAGACTTGCCTTCTCTTAACAAAGTCACAAAAAAGAGGCAGTTCAATTTCATTACCTCTAGGATCACTTTCGGAATCAAAATGCTATCCCTAGGGGCTGAGGTTGTAGCTCAGGTTGGACTCACTTGTAGCAGAGTGTAAGCTTTCGTGTTCATCATGCCCTGGGTTTAACCCCCAGCACCCTTCCCCCGGTTCTAATACTGCTCAGAAAAGGACTGGGCTTTTTCTTGGGAGGAAGAGAAGAAGAAGGAGAAGGGAGGTTGCAAGAGAGTGCATTTTTGTACAGTTCCAACTTCTTATTTGCATGCAGCATATTCTAAAAGCTCCCTAGCACCTAGGTGAAGAGAGTAGCTTCTTCACAATGCTCTTGGTAAGCGCTGCTCTGATTCACAGCGAAAGAAGTATATCCTGGTGGTGGCTAATTCAGAATGTGCCTGGCTGCCTTAGCTATGAGAAGCAGCTTTCTAAATGTCACATCCTTCCCTCCCTACAAGCTCCCTTCAGAAGGTGATTTAGAAAGCCCATTGATACCTCTTAATTAGCAGTGACATACTTTATATCTGTCCTTAATATTTTATCTGAACACGCCTTGGGAAGGTTTCATAAGAGGAGCAATGTACCAGACAGCCAGTCTGCTTTCGCTGCTGAGCCCCTCAGTCTTCCTGCTCTGTGCTCCTCTTGGTGTCCTCTCAGTGTTTTGGCGTTTGTTTTGTTTTTATTTTTATTTATTTACTTAATTTATTAGTATCATTTTTTGGTACCGGGGATCGAGCTCAGGACCTTGTGTTTGCAAGGCAGGTGCAGCGCCACTGAGCTAAATCCTCAGCTTGGTTTTGTTTTTAAAGAAAGCCCAGCTTCATCATCCTTTAGGCCACCTCCCTTTTCATGGGGATGCCTAATTCTGTTTGTTGTTGCTGCTGGACTGTCCCTGTGGTCACAACAAAATAGATGTTCTTCTTCCTCCCTTCTCCCTCTTGGGTCCTCCAGGATTTTGCATCATTCATTGTTTCAATATACTGAGTAATTTGTGCATATAAAAGAATAATTAGGGCTGAGGTGAAGCTCACCGGTAGAACACTTGTCCAGCCATCAAGAGGCCCTGGGTTCAATCCCCCTATTGGGAAAACATTTGAGAGAGAACTGTACAGCAGAGATTGTTCTCAGTCTCTGGGAACCAGCAGGTCTCTGCTCTCATTCAGGGCGCTTTCGCTGGGAAAAGGCCACATGATAAATAATTAACTGCACCAGAAGTTCATAAGTGCTATGGAGAAAAACAGAGTGTGTGGGGGTTGGCTGTAGAGTTATGGGCACGAGTGTTGCATTTCATAGAGGTGGGCATGAAGGAACTCTCTGGTAGGCTAGTATCTGAGCAGAGCCCTGAAGGAGACGAGGGAGCGGCTGGGGCATCTTTGGAGGAAGAGGAGCCAGAGAGGATGAACCTCTCTGAGGGGAAAGAAAGGATCCGTTGAGTATGGCCCTGGCTTCTCCTCTGGGATGGGGGCCTACTGAGAAAGGTGTGATTTCTGTTTTAAGCTAGATTCTGATATCTCCAATAGACTATTCAACTAGACAGCAGATTTTGGGGAGCAAAAGCTTAGTGGGGAGACCTGATAGAAGGCTCTTGTACCATGGGGCAGCTGTACTTAAAGTGCAGCCACGAGGGAAGAAGACAAAAAACTGCTGAGAATACAAAGGTAAAGAAGTAATTCTCCTTTCCATAGGGAGCGGAGTGGGAGGGAAGATGTGAAAAATAACTGCACCACAAGATGCTTCAGAACTCCATGAGCTGCCTCTTACTGGGAAGTGAGGCGAGGAGAATCAGAAGACATCCAGGGAGGAGTTAGAAGGATGATTTCCAACACAAAGCCAGGCCATTACGGAAACATATGGTGAAGGTTTAAGAAATGTATTACAGTAAAAGATACATCTCCATTAATCTCCCTCAAGATCCTCGCTTTTGCTTTGGGTACACTTATCTCGTTCTTGCTGTTTTCTGAAGGAGTTCTGGAAGTCCTCTTTCATGATTTTGTTGTTGTTGTTGTTGTTAGTTACTCAACCATTTCTTTCTTTCTTTTTTCAAAATTTAATTTTATTCCATTATCCCCCACCCCTTCATGATTGTTTTTATGAGGTGTGATTAAAAAAAAAAGAAGAAAAAACCATGCATGCTGCTGCCAAGTGCCATCCAACGCAAGAGAGGCTTTGTAGAAACACACGTGTGTCCTCATCCACCCTGACCACGATAGGTGAACACTTTGGTTCGATTGAGGCCATCAGGGCAGCCAACTAGAGACCCTCATGACAAAACTTCCAGAACTTCTTCATAAAGTGGCAAGAACGATGGGACGA